AAAAAAAAAAAAAAAAAAAGTAAATTTGTCCTCCGTACTATTAAAAAAAAATACTATTTTCTAATAAACGGATAAGCAAATACGATCAATCAATTATTCAAATTATACGTATTATTATATGTATAGATGCTTGAATACCGCAGAAAACAATGCTCAATTTGAACATCGCATTTAAAGCTCCTGAGTACTCAACCAAGAACTCCGCGTTGATAGTGGCGACACCGAATTAGTCGGCGGCCTAACAAAACCGGTAGCCACACACAAGCACGAGTCCATGTCCGTGTACTCATTTTCGGACCAAAGATGAACACACGGATTTGGGCTTGTGTACATATTACAGTGCCTCGTCATAACAAAGAACTGAAGTAATAGGCGTGAAAAGTAACAACGTTTTGTGTTACGTGCCATTTCGTTATTGTGTGCTTAATTGTGAAAATACTTATATACAGTCAAATATTTTTAATTTAGAAACTAAACATAGAAATGTTCTGTAACTTAAGATTTTTCATTGTAAGGATGCAAGAACTACAATATATAAAAAATTCAAGCAAATTGACTGAAAACGTTTTTTTCATATAAATTGTGCATGGTCCTTTATAGATTTAATATAGATTTAAATAGTCAATTTTCGGTCAAAAGTAGAAATTAAAAATATCACTGTTTGATAGTGTTCCTGATTTGATTATCACAATTTTTAAGATTTTTTTTATAAAATCATTTTCCCTCATTTTAAAAAGGATGTTCGAGTGGTCTCAGACATCTTATACATATGTAAGAAAAATATTAATTGCTTACCGGCATTACGACGACACAATGCCATATCACTGACAGGAGTCCATTGATTTGTCTCCGGATTAAATGCTTCTACGCTTTTTCGTACTAGTGGACCATCATGACCTCCTACTGCGTATAAAATACCATCCAGGACACCAACACCTGCACCACTGCGACGTGCGGACATTTCAGGTACAGGTTTCCATTGATCCTTCTCCGGATTATAGCACTCAACACTAGACAGACATTGCCGAGATTCTCCATCGTAGCCACCAACCTAATTGCAAAGTTTATCTGTATTAAATATGCAATATAGATAAGATTGTCTACGAATATTAGATAAGAATTTACGGCGTAAAGCAATCCTTTGACAACGCCCACTCCTACGCTACTACGCCGTGTTGACATTCGTGCTACTGGTCTCCATTCGCGAGTCCGTGGATCATAAACTTCAGCCGAATTTAACCCTGTCGAACCATCGAAACCACCAACCTATGTATGTAAAATATAGGTTGTTTAATTTTAAATATGATTTACATTAATAAAGAACATAAGATATAAAGATGTAATAACGTACAGCGTAAACGCAATTGCCGAGTACAGCTACACCGAGCGTCGATCTCCTCGCTTCCATTTCGGGACAGGGTGACCATTGATCCGCTGCAGCATCATAAATATCAACTGTTCGTACTCTTAATGATCCATTAAATCCACCAACGGCATATACGCGTCCGCCGAGAACACAAAGTCCTACAATTCAATACAATATAATCGTTACTTTACAAAATAAAAACAATTCTACTATCATAATTTAATTGATATTATTTACCAGCTCTGCAACGTCGTGTTGGTAATTCAGAAACTTGATACCACCTTTCCTCCTTAAAGTCATAACACTCAACGCTCCTGATTGCCTTTGGAGCTTGGCCGCCAACAACAAGTAATACTTTAGGCAATCCCCTCGGTTGTCTCGGTTTGGTACGCGGCGTTTTGAATAACGATTTCTGTTCACCCTTCAGTAAATGATATTTTAAGGCTTCGATCAAGAAATCCTTGCCTGTGAAAATTAAGGGACATATTATATATCTCTTCTAATATGTACATCTAACATATACCATACATCGTAATAGCAAATTTACATTGCAAATTAGCTTTAAGAAGCGGTTCCTCTTCCACACGTTGCACTAAATACTCTTGAGAAAGCAAAGGCAAGCGCACATGCTCCATTAACAACGCCAAATCATTTTGCCTCTTTTCAAGGTCGTGGTGTACCCATGAAATAACACATTCGAATACTTTCTCTTCAGAAGGCACCATTAAACGATCGCTACAGATAAGCTTAGCTACTTGTTCAGGTGCCAATGTTAAAAATTCTTCTGCGTCAACAACTTCTCTATGATCGATATTAAGACAATACAATCATATAATACAATTTAATTGAGTGGATCAGAATTTGAAATGTGACTTACGAAAAATGTTGTTCGATGTAACTATCTGCATGCGTCAATAACTCGAGGCATCCATGCAGATCTGCAAACGCTCTAATACCGAGACAATTAGACGGATGTAATTGAGCTTGTAAAAAATCGCAACAGGCATCCCGTACATCTGTCAGTTGTAACAAGTTTGCAGCAGGTAGAAGTACCTGTACGTTATCCTCTGTAACATGGACTTCTGCCGAGTAAACATAATCTACCAATAATTCTAATGCCGAATAATCCACGCCTTGTAACGTTATTCTTTGTTGATCGCGCTCCTCAAAACTTGTAAACATGGCATAAAAGTAAGGACTGCATGCGGCGAGGACCATTTTGTGAGCCGGTACTTCCATACCACCGTCCGCTATCAGGGTGACATCGCAGAGTAAATTTTTTCTAAAAATCATAGCGTATTATTTAAATTTATGTTCATTCTATAATTTTAAATACTTATAAAATTTATATTTTATAACTATTTTTAGTAATACACATCTAAACGATAATATAAATATATTTTTTAAAGACATAACACATCTGAATAAGATTATACAAAGATATTATATATGCTAAATTATTTCAATAGATAACAAAAATATTTACTTTCTCATCTCGTTGATGACATCAAAGGCTCGATTCGTGTGATGATGATTCCTGTATGGTGGTTTATCCTTCCCATTCTCACGAGGAACATGCTTTTGCGAACTTTCGTCCAGAGAATTTTGGCTGGCATAGCGAAGTAATAAGCAACTGTAATTATAAAAACTGAACAGTTATAATTCTGACTACAGTAGTTTCTAAAGAACAAGTAACATTATGACCAAAAAGCTAACAAGGATACATAAAACACTTAGGGCCAATTGTTCCATCTTTCGGTAGAGTTTACCTGTTAGGTAAATCTGGCAATCCGCGCACGTGATTGCACGGGTAATCTTGCTACTTACTTAATAGGTAAACTTTACTAAAAGATGGAACAATCGGCCCAAGGAAGTAAGATGTAAACAGTAAAGAAATCAACATGTTGGATTGGCTATGTTATGACCTTACGGATTCCATTGTGATTAGTCGATTTGCTTATTGCTTACATTTTAATGTTGTTTATGTGCTATGGCCCTTATTGATGAACAGTGTGCATGCAAGTCTACCATGAAACTACCATTTTTCTTCGGCGGTCTAAAAACCACCAAGAGTATCTATACCAAAAAGACTTCTCAATTTGCCATTCGGAACCATCGTTAAATTGTAAGTTCCGTATATTTGTGTACAATCTACGTGCACACTATAGGCATAAATATGAGAAGTAAGCCCTCTCCTGACTTTGGGATGTTGTGCCACTTATAATGAATGACAGAATTGCACCGCTGCTTTTCCTCGTAGGATGTTTTTTATTTTGTTGTTAATCGTATCAAAAATGAGTTTGAGTGGATAGTCATTTTTTAGAATAATAATATATTAATGAATAATACATTTTTTATATGATATTGCACATTGGAAAGTAAAATGGCTCTGTCCGTTAAACCGATAATTGTTCCTCTTTTTTGGAAAATAGGATAATTGGAAAAGAAATTTAAAAATCTACCAGAAACACTGGGTTTCTGACCAATCAAAGATAAAATGTTTATCTTTTTAGTCACAAGTGATATCCAAAAAAGTTTATACGATCATTTCTCACTTCAATAATAAATTAGAGGCAAGGATGAAAGAAATTGAAGCATTCAAGAACAGAACAATTTCAGATGAAGGAACAGCAGCGCATAAATCGTCTACATACCTATAATAAAAAAAGTGGCTGACAGTTTAACAATGTCAAAGCACTCTTCTAATCTTTGCAATATCAAATTCGTAACGATGGGCGACAACAGAGATCATGGGTGTGTCAAAATTCTATTTGTAAATAATACTATTGAAAAAAAAGTAAATGGAATTCAAAACAAACTTGACAGCCTCAAGGAAATCCATCTTGGGTAAACTGCATTTTTTGGAGATAAAACTGTTTGCAAACAATTTTTGTTTCTCTAAAGAACATTCATCTGGCCTGATGCGTCATTTTATCTTTATCTTTATTAATAGTTTCAATTTTTGTAACAGCTGACGAGGGTTCAATCATGTAGCCAAAATATGCCATGACTATAACGAATTTTAATATACATATTTTTATGTTTTGACTTAATTTTTATTTGAAATTTTGACTCTTACTGCCCTTTACATTTCTTTAGATTATGTCAAATTTTAATAATTTGAAATTATCAATAAGTAAAAGTTGAACAAAATACGTTGATTATGAAAACAACGATAACTAATTCATTGTTCAGAGGCAAGAATTCTGTTAAATCCATAGTAAAAAAAAAAAAAGTGTGAAATCCGTTAAAAACAAATAATAGAAACATCAATTATAGAATAAAAGTTGGAAAGTTTGATTGTCAAAAAATTATTTGATCGTCCAAAAATTAGCTTAACGATCACTTATTGTCATGTGCTTTCTAAGGACGAATACAAATCTATTACAGAAAATCGATGAGAGACTTACCTGCCCTTAGTGTCGGATCCATCACCGATATTATTAGGTGATTGATTCTGTCCCGTGGACTCCATTTCCACCGATCTCAGCTATTGGACGTGTGACCGGCTATACAGCTATTCTGTGTAACTTATAGCTATCACACTGCGTTGTACAACGTCATACGATGACTCGCGTCGACTCCACGAGTCATATCATCGCGCACTCATCGCATTTAACTGAACAAGAAGACGACACTCTTTGAGATTCCGCGATATCGACGTACAAGATAGTTTAAAAGACACAAGAAGACAAGACTCGCAATTCGCATCCTTCCTCAATCTTCCTCAGTCCGAAATGACATTGTGGAAGAAATAAAATACAGCATTGCACATAATGGCGGCAGGTTTGGCGGTTGAACCAATTAAAAACAGTGATGCCAGACTTGCCCCGCACTCGCGCGTGTGCGTTGTTTACAGCTGAGCGCGCAGTGCTGTAGCCATTAAGGCCGGTATTCATATTTTGGATTCACCCTGCATCCGATTTTCGTCGTACGACGACTCTGCAACCAATCAGAAAACAAAATTTTGCTTCGTACCGATGTTACGATTTTTCTGATTGGTTGTAGAGTCGTCGTACGACGAAAATCGGATGCAGGGTGAATCCAGGATATGTTCGAACACACAATCTTTTTATTTGGTTACGTTCAGTAGAAAAAGCAGCTTTGCAAAGGTTGTAAAATTCATTAATATGGTTGGCCTTACCTTTAGTTTCTCATTGGACCTAAATGTATCAACCAATGATATTCAAGAATTTTATGACAGTTGCAAAGCTGCCTTTTCTGCTGAACGCGGTTATTGCGTTCAGTTTTGACTTGTTGTTTCCTATTTCAACCGCGGCGCTTCGCGTTTTCCGAGAAGGCGTTAGCGCGCGGCGAACTATATATTTTTATTTTCCAGCGAGCTACGCACGCAGCGCGAGCCAGGCGCGAGGCGCTGCGAGGCGCTGCGAGGCGCGACGCGCGACACCCGTAGGCGACTGGCGAATGACGGCCCTTAACAGCGGTCCTGTCAATGTGTCAGTTATCAGCCGGTGCGGCCCAGTGTAGACAGTTCGCCGTGGAAGCTGGCTGGAGGCGTTACGTTACGCTTCATCGTGCCACGCAACGCCACAACGCGACGTGCCGCGCCAAGGACGCGGCGACGACAGGCGTCGACGACGCTTTCGCCTCTTTTTTTCCGCTCCCCCTACTCTCGATCGAGTTCACGCCGGTCGACGTGTTACGTCGAGTGTCGTTTCGAAAATTTGTACGCTCCGTTATAATTCCCGTGACCCCCGGTGTGCCGCGCGAGCATTTTCGCGGCATCACGCGCGTAAAAGAGAAAGAAAGAAAAAGAAAGAAAGAGAGAGAGAGAGAAAGAAGCAGAGAAGAGAAAAGATCCTCATCGGAAATTAGAATCCCGGCTCGCGCGGAAGTCGTACGGGAATTTACCTACTGACGACCAAGTACGACCCTTGTTCTCTGCTACTGTTGTCGTTTTCGTCTCGCAAAAGGTAGGTTCGTTGCGTGTTACGACCGGCGCTTATGATATGACTCCGATATTTTGATGTCATGAAACTGCGATATATATATATGTGACGCGACAATACACAATGACTACAAAAAAAGGAAAGAGATAAAAAGTGAAAGTGAGGGAGGAAGGGAGGAGTAGAGCACAATTCCAACGTGATTTTACGCACTCCAAAAAATGTCAGTTCGGATTTAAAACCCTGGTGATTGTATCAACCCCATCGTAATAATGGATTTGACGTCATGAGTGTGTAGGTTTAAAATCCGTGATGTTAAATCCACACTGTATTGATATTATTTTAATATCAACACAGTAAAAATTATATTGACATCGCACGATGTTAATCTAATCCTAATTAAATAGTTTACACCGCTATTTTTTAGTGTACGCACTGAATGAAATTCACTAAAAAGGCCGACCAAGATATGTGTGTAGTTTCGCTACAATAAAAATGTTTTAAGAATTAGATATAATATTATGTAGATATATGCATAGATTACACACACGCGCGCGCACGACACACACACATACATTCACGTGAAATCGACGATTTATGAAAAAATGAATTCGCTGCAATTTCAGTTCGCTGCCATCGCATAGTATCGCGAGTCGTTCTGAAAGTGGCATGATAAAGTACATTTTTATATGCGCTATCAGCACATAAGGATTTTTTTTAATTTTAAATTATTAATACTTAACAAAACGCAAAAATTATTGCGTTTTGTAAAGTAATAGCGTTCATAAAATATATTTTATTATACCATTTTTGAAACTAGCAACACTATCGTCGGTGAATTGTGTCGAGATTACGGCGATCGGCGATGAATTATTTATGATTTTTTCCGGCACAACTCGAAATGTATTAGGTACTTTACGTTCAAGGCGAGTTATTCATTACACGATTATCGGAAATACTACTTACAAGTGAAATGTCAAATTTTTATTTTTGAACGAAACTTTGTGCACTTATATGTTACGTGAATGGTACATAGACAAATTTTGAAAATGTTAGGGCCAAATAAACAGTTTTAAAGAGTAAAATTACTCTTTATACAATATATATTGCGTTGAGATTACGGCGATGAATTATTTATGATTTTTTCCGGCGCGACTCGAAACGTATTCTTGTATTAAGTACTTTACGTTCAAAGCGAGTTATTCATTGCACGATTATCGGAAATACTACTTACAAATGAAATGTCAAATTTTTATTTTAATGAAACTTTGTGTACTCATATCTTACATGAATGATACATGGACAAATTTTGAAAATTTTTGAAAATATTAGGGCCAAATAAACAGTTTTAGAGAGTAGAATTATCCTTTATATAATATAAAAATTGAAGTTTTTAGCTTTTCTCGTTATATCTTAAAAACTATTCGAGATATTAAAAAATGTCTAATACAAAAGTTTTAAATATATATATATATATATATATATATATATCGTAAAATTTCTATTAAACAGTTTTTAATATAAAAACAAAAATTTGATATAATAACAAAAAAGCTGAAAAAAGCTTTTTTACACAGAAGAATTATTTTAACCTTAAAATCATTTATTTACCGCGCGCAACTGATTTTTTTAAATTTATCTATATAAGTAAGCTGTAAATAGTTTCATTGAAATTTGAATTGTACACTTCAAACGACAGTTCCTTATTATATCTATGACTCGAGGACATGAATATAGGTGAATACTCGTATATTGTAGAAGAGAATTCCTTTCGTATGTAAAACTGTTTTCATGAACTTCGTGACAAGCGATATTCAGAAAGTCTTCGCGCGCTAAGAAGCAGGAATGTCTTGTGGTGAAAACGGATTTATGACGTTCCTCGTAAGAACGCAGAAACACATGGAGATAAATCTTTACGATGAGAAAATAATCCCGAATATTTAATGAAGCTCCATAACTGACAATGATAAAATTCTATTATAAATTCGTGGTTGAGAAAACTCGAGCAAATAGGTATGCTTTCCTTTTAAAAGACACACTCGACACAAACATCATTCTATCTTTATCATTCGTTGAATGTCAAGAAGGATAGAACGACGTTTGTGTCGAGAGTGTCCTCTAAAAGGAAAGCATACTAGGATTAGCGAGTTGCTCTTCATCTTTTTCTAATTCTTATAATTAGTAAAAGATACAGTGACGGATTTACACATTTTTGCACCCTATCCCTTCAAGACACTTGGGCGCCCGTTTCAAACGAATAAACAATAAAACGATATTATTGTAGCTATCCGTCGAAAGGTATCACTCTTCCATCAAAGTGTCAAAATTTTATTTCTATGCGCCAAAGTACTATATACAGTATTTCAAGATGTCACATTGACGGAAATGCGCCACACTAGCAACCCTGTACGAATACAAAATTAATTTTAATTTTGCTTCTTAGGATGGAGCCCCAGGTCTCATGGGCCTCTGTCTAAATCCGTTATTGGTAAAAGATAAATAATAAATTGAATAAATTGATAAAAGATAAGTTGAATAAAAATAGAAATTAAACTACTTTGGTAGAAACGGGCATTAATCTGTCAAATTTATGCTTTTCTTTCTTTTTTTCTTCTGAAAATGAAACATCATAACGGACTACATTTTGATTGAATGACATGTCGATATTAACGCGCAACGGAAGATACATACTACGATAAAATCGTAGATACTGCTCATACCGTTCACGGATCATTGTGTCGTATCAGAGAGGACGAATGAGAGACGAGACGAAGCGAGGCGCCGCGCGTTGCTTGTGCGTGACATGCGCAATATTATTACAAGTACAAGGTTACGTGCAACGTAACGTATGTGTATCTGACTGATTATTTCCTGCTGGTAAATGGCCTCGATTTGCCATGTCTCGCATGTCTTCAGATCTGTCTGAGTTATTGCCTCGTAGCGAGACTCGAGTTGAACGTGTGATTTAACTACCAAATCGCGTTTTCGATTCCGCATATATACAATATAGATCGACAGAACAGAAATCTGTTCATTTGAAACGTGACCTTCGATTTTGCTATTCACTTTCGTCGTATCCCGCTTTTCTCGCACAAAACGAAACGGGCATGCGATTGAACAAAGTAGAGGAGAAAAAATTATTGAGAAAAAAAAAAGAACGCGGACGGTGCAATGGAAAAAGAGAAAGAAGGAGACCTTCTCTTATGCTTAATTAGATGAAGTAGTTTAGGCGAGGATCCATTGCGATTTAAATGCGATAACGCTTATCTGCGGGTGAAAGATGGAGAATACGCGTTATCGTCGTTGTCTTTTGTTTATTCGTGACTTTGGGACGTTATTTATGTTCGCTTTCGTGAAAACTTGAAAGCACAAAAATGGAAAAAGGATGAGGACTGACGGTTCTCTTTTAGGCGCGAAAGTCAGACGATTTGGTCGATGATGCCACACTATGAGATTTCTAGTACATACCTCCACCCAAACGTGTCGCGAAAGTTGATTAGAACTCGTTAACAGAAAGTTGATCGGAATAACGAGTATTCAGTGAAAAAAAAAAGACTTGTTCGTGCAAGTTAGATTCTAACTGAAAGATTCTTCT